CTTTAATGCACTATACAGACCTTCCCGATGAATTATAATGCTCAATATAATGCATTTTGAAGGTATTTATGGTACATGGTATGAGAGCATTCATGATGCATAATGAGCATTGCTATAATGTGTTATGCCTTTTTATAAATAGTTATAGCCATGTTTATAATACCTTATGAATGCATCATAATGCATTATGTGGGTATGTATAATGCATTTATATGACCGCTTTATTTAAAGTGTTACCTAAAAATCCTCACAGTATATAAAAGTACTGTAGTTCTGCGAATGCTTTTGAAATAAAACGGCGTTGGGGAGGAATGATGGATACTTCCAGTCCTTGGCTGCCTTGAAGCGCACCTGGATTATCACGTTAAACAGCGTCCGTCACCGGGCCCTGCCCAAGGTCGCGGGGTCAGGGCGGACAAAGGGGACTTCTGCCATTGGGCTGTTTTTACAAGCAAAAGGTTATTTTGAAAGTTGTTTTTTTTTGTCATCCCCTGCTGCCCTCAGCGCTGCCGCCATCGCTAGACCCCCACCTGCTGCCGGCGGTGTGATCCTTACTCCGTTTGGGGGGGGGGGGGCGCCGCGGTCTCACAGGCCTCAAGCGGACCGAGGGCCTCGAGCACAGGGGCAGAATTTAGCATGGAAGAGGGTGATTGTCTGAACATATGAATAATTTGCATACAAAGCTTTGGAGGGATGAATGAAGCCAAATTAAATATTGGGGAGTACTCAACTTCCCCCGTTCTCCCCGGTTCCTGTGCCCCTGGGCACATCAATATCCAATCAGAAAGCCCCTACCAGACCCCCCCCCCCCACGAAGGGCAAGGTGGGGTAGGAGCGGTAATCCCCTTTGAATATCCCATGGTGATGGATTTAAGGTGGGGGGTGGTCGGCGCAATCGCACCGAAATCCACTTAGTACTGGAACCGCCAAGACGTGGCATCGAAATGCATCCGGCTGTGATCATTCCTGCTCTGTCGGCATCGCTGCTCTCGCTCTTTACTCCAAAAGGGGAAACCCTTGGCCTTTTAGGACCCAGGGGCGTCATCATGTGACGCTTCACCTTTTCATCCTCTACCGACTCTGGTCTGCAGGTGGCACATCTGGGGTCCGGCCTCCACGTCGCCCCGGCACCCGAGGCCAGCTGCCTGACGTGGGACAGACGCAGATGTTTGAAGAGTGTAGGAGGATGGGTAGGAAGAGAGGGTGGGCACTGACGGGTGAAGCGGGGGCATAGGATGTGGCACAGCCAGGGCAGGATGCCAGTCCATCAAAGGGCACGGGCTCTCACATAGCGACGATAGAGAATCGCCAGCTCACTTCACTGCAAGTCTTTGGACTGTAGGAGGGAGCGAGAGCAGCTGAAAGAAACTCAGATAAAACATCAACAGAGCTGCACACGCAGTGTGGGGGCGGGACCCAACGCCCTGGGGGCATCAGGCCACTCTTACTTATATCCACTAAATAATTAGTGCCCGCGCGTGCTGGCACAGGTGGTTCTGCACCAGGCGCGAGCGAGTGGAATCAGGCTACGAAAGCGATTAGGATGGAATCCAGGAATGTATAAACAAAATATCGTTCACGTGTGGGCAGAAAGTCGAGGCCGACGGCAACGCTCACATGCTGCCAATAGTTACGATATAAAACAGGGAAATGCATATGTTCTGAATTCCCTGAAGTCAATGAGAGAAAATTATGCAGGGTTACTTTTTTTAGGCAGAAATAAAATCATTATGACTGGAGTGGAAATACTCCCCAGGTCATTTTCTTGTTTCTTTTTTCTTGCTTAGTCCTATAAATGCAGTGTGGCTGGACAGGAATATAGGTGTCTGTCAGTAATATAGGAATATAGTTGTCTGTCAGTAATATAGGAACATAGGTGTCTGTCTGTAATACAGGAATATAGGTGTCTGTCAGTAATATAGGAACATAGGTGTCTGTAATACAGGAATATAGGTGTCTGTCAGTAATATAGGAACATAGGTGTCTGTCTGTAATACAGGAATATAGGTGTCTGTCAGTAGTACAGGAATATAGGTNCCCCCCCCCCCACGAAGGGCAAGGTGGGGTAGGAGCGGTAATCCCCTTTGAATATCCCATGGTGATGGATTTAAGGTGGGGGGTGGTCGGCGCAATCGCACCGAAATCCACTTAGTACTGGAACCGCCAAGACGTGGCATCGAAATGCATCCGGCTGTGATCATTCCTGCTCTGTCGGCATCGCTGCTCTCGCTCTTTACTCCAAAAGGGGAAACCCTTGGCCTTTTAGGACCCAGGGGCGTCATCATGTGACGCTTCACCTTTTCATCCTCTACCGACTCTGGTCTGCAGGTGGCACATCTGGGGTCCGGCCTCCACGTCGCCCCGGCACCCGAGGCCAGCTGCCTGACGTGGGACAGACGCAGATGTTTGAAGAGTGTAGGAGGATGGGTAGGAAGAGAGGGTGGGCACTGACGGGTGAAGCGGGGGCATAGGATGTGGCACAGCCAGGGCAGGATGCCAGTCCATCAAAGGGCACGGGCTCTCACATAGCGACGATAGAGAATCGCCAGCTCACTTCACTGCAAGTCTTTGGACTGTAGGAGGGAGCGAGAGCAGCTGAAAGAAACTCAGATAAAACATCAACAGAGCTGCACACGCAGTGTGGGGGCGGGACCCAACGCCCTGGGGGCATCAGGCCACTCTTACTTATATCCACTAAATAATTAGTGCCCGCGCGTGCTGGCACAGGTGGTTCTGCACCAGGCGCGAGCGAGTGGAATCAGGCTACGAAAGCGATTAGGATGGAATCCAGGAATGTATAAACAAAATATCGTTCACGTGTGGGCAGAAAGTCGAGGCCGACGGCAACGCTCACATGCTGCCAATAGTTACGATATAAAACAGGGAAATGCATATGTTCTGAATTCCCTGAAGTCAATGAGAGAAAATTATGCAGGGTTACTTTTTTTAGGCAGAAATAAAATCATTATGACTGGAGTGGAAATACTCCCCAGGTCATTTTCTTGTTTCTTTTTTCTTGCTTAGTCCTATAAATGCAGTGTGGCTGGACAGGAATATAGGTGTCTGTCAGTAATATAGGAATATAGTTGTCTGTCAGTAATATAGGAACATAGGTGTCTGTCTGTAATACAGGAATATAGGTGTCTGTCAGTAATATAGGAACATAGGTGTCTGTAATACAGGAATATAGGTGTCTGTCAGTAATATAGGAACATAGGTGTCTGTCTGTAATACAGGAATATAGGTGTCTGTCAGTAGTACAGGAATATAGGTGTCTGTCAGTAGTACAGGAATATAGGTCTGTCAGTAATATGTGTGTAATATAGGGGGCTGTCAGTAACATAGGGGGTGTGTGTAATATATATACAAATCCAGGGTCCTGGGTGTAATACATGGTGGGGGGGGGCTCTCACCACCCCATTCCCGCATGGTCTCAGATCCACCCCCCACCCCATCAATGATACTCTGCCACCCTGAATATGGCCAAGTGGCATGTAAACACACCTTCTGCAGTGGGAAGTAAGTGAGGTCACTGTGATTAGCAGCCAGCAATGGGGAACGGGGTCTCTGGAGTCACGTATCACGAATGTGCACCGATATGAAGTCCGTCACGTATCACGAATGTGCACCGATATGAAGTCCGTCACGTATCACGAATGTGCACCGATATGAAGTCCATCCTGAGGTGTCAGTTACACGCTATGAACTCTATTAGGAAACAGCACAGCTTGTATTTGTTTGGGGGGGGCAGTGAAGGTGCTCCTAATCTCAGCCAGATGTTTGTAGATGACACGGGAAATCATTACAGCTGTATCCTGGGAAATCTGTGTGATCCCTGGGCTGGCTTCGTATCCTCTGTCGTGGGTGAAAGAGAAAACATGTTTTTTTTGTTTTTTTTTTGCCAGGTGTCCTACAGCATTTTGACCTCACATTGTCATCCTCCTCGAAAAAAAAAAGTGTGAAGGTGTGAAGTACGAATTTCGCGGGGCCCAGCAGCAACGGCCGCTTTCCAAATACTGACTTTGCGTGGGGGTCCCACTCGGGCACGTGCCGTCCCAGAAGAGTGTCACCTGTCACACGCTGGGAGGCGTTGTGGATCGTAAGGGATGCTAGGCGGGAGAAACGGCATGGTACAAGTTGTTCTCCGAAACGAAAGAGAAAAAAAAGAAAAGCACCAGACAGAACAGCGGTGGCGAGTCTCTCAGCCGCACGTTTAGTAACCGGAAAAACCTGATCGTTCATATATAATTCATGACGCCAGGCAGAGGGTTTGTTCACGGATTTTTGTTTGCCTTTTTTTTTATTTTTTCCCCCCTAGCTCATGACTTAAGTTGAAATATGTACATGGATCCTTGTGGGTGACCTCTGACCCCTGTGCACTCAATCCTCACAGTCCCCGAATAACTCAAGCTGAGCCAACTCGAAGCAGCAGAGGCCAATAAACAACAGATGTCCAGGACAGGAAGCGAGGATCGCTTTACAGAAAAAAAAAGGAACTGCAAGATGTTAGGAATGAAATGAGCGAGGGACTGGCCACCCCCATGCTCGTGATGCGGCGAATTACTTCAGAGACACGCCGCATACACTTACGTGCACCCTGGTCCGCTTTATCTGGGCGGACGCCGTGCCTGCAAACTGATTAACAGACGGGTGTGATCTGGCCACAGAGATTAGTTAGGATGGGTGGGGTTGCATCATGGCTTTTCGGGTTAATCCATTTCGGCTTTTGTCATGGGTGAAAGTGATCCATCTCTGCCAAATGTGGAGCCGTGAGTGTTCTGTAATTGTACTTTACACATATAAATAAGCAGATATAAGGGCATAAGCCACATATAAAATGATATAAGCTGCAGTAGAGCTGCTATGTACAGTGCAGATGAAAGACCACTTGGTTGGTTCTAATGCAAATATGTCTGGCTGCAGGAAGGTACCATTGTGAAGGGTCGGGCGGGGGGAGCTTTCAGGTGAAACACTGATCCATTTAAATGCTGTTTCCACAGTGATTGAGGGGAGTCTGCGACAGAAGCTCGAAGCGGTGAGCTACTCCTCCCGCTACGCCCTGGGACTCTTCTACAAGGCTGGCACCCAAATCAACGTCCCGTGGGCCATGAAGTACTTCGAGGGCAATTCCTGTATTCGCTTCATCTCCGTCGATGACAGAAAGCGTGATACGGGTCAGCAAATCCCTGGCTTCTGCCCTTTTTGCGGTAGTGTGAACTAACTAGGTTAAATGGCACCTGGACAAGCGTCACTAAGTAGGCAGGAGACTCCCACGCACCTGCCGCATCTTTATGACAGCGAAAGCACTCCAGTCCTTCCACTCTCTGCCTTTCCAGCCGCCATCGACTTTGAGGGCGGAGCATCAGTTGCACTGTCTCAGGCCGGATTCATCACTCATTTAAGGCAGAGGGTAAATTCAGCAGTTAGAGTTTCGGTGTCCGTGCCTTCAAGGGCGGGCCTCCGGGTGTCCTTTGGACCTTTTCAGCGCGGCTTCTTGGGAGCATTCCTCCACCTGGTGCTGCCCACGTTGTGGAAGAAGCCTACACAAGCTTTCCCACCCACTCCTGTACCTGTCACCTCACATATCATTGTAAAGGAACTCTTCTTCTTTTGGGTCTGGCCATTTTCCTCTTAGCTGCCACCTCCTCATCTTCTGTAACAAAGCCTTTGAATTAGGAAATTAACGTCTATGTGGGTTTTTCCACTACCTTACAATAGTCCCGAGGTCTCCAAACCAGGAAGGAAGGTTCCAGACCCTAATTTTGAGTTCCCCCACTGTGTATCACATCCAGGACCCTAGCTGACAGCGAGGAGGTCTATTGTCAAACCAGGAGACATAATCTCCTAAGAGCTGGAAACCCTACTGCTTTGAGGTCAACGGTCGGGCTGCGGTTCTTCTTGTGTAGCTACTAGCATGACTGTTAGCGTCTGCTCTCTGTCCGGCTGTTGGAGGACCGCGGCAAGCGGACGGTACATGTGCCAAAGGGGAGAACCGTAATTTTTCTGCTGCAACTGCCCCTGCAAAATAGCCGCGTAGGTGGATAAAGTGAGAACCAGTCAGCTATTTATGTAGCTTTACATGCTAACATCTACTAATGGGCTGGAATCGTACAAAACAGAAGCACATTTGCAATGTACAGAAGCCTTAACTCTTGCTTTTCTGCAAGGGGGGTGTGAAGGCAAGGCTCTGGGACTGAGCCTCTGGGACCAAGGCCTCTTCCTGTCACCCTGTGAACCAAGTGACCTTAGCCTTTCTCTCCATGTCTCTCGCTCTGACTCGATGGTGACTCAGAGCCGGCTCGTCGCCAATCTCTCGCCCACACACCGCTGCCTTCTCTCTGTCCTCCTCCTTATCTCCCTTTCTCTCTCCCTCTATTTGTCTGTCTGTCCCTCAGCCTCCCACCCTCTCTCTATCTCTCTCCCTGTCTCCTTTTCACTCTCTCTCAGGTTTGCCTTGCACTGGGGCGTAATGGCAGACAACCGCAGATCTATATGCACCTCTGCCTTACTTCTTTCGATTAATGAGCTGATTAGCGGTGGCTCACTGCTCAACAGAGAGCAGCGTGGGAGGCCTCACTGTGGCAGGGGTCGGGCAGAGCCAAGGAACAGCACCCCCCACTGGCCAGTCTCTTTCTCTAACATGTCAGAAAGCCATCTGCCTGTCCCTAATTCAAATGACTTTCGAGCATGGACTGTGGACTGGGATCCGGTTCCAATCCTTACTGGATGCTTGATTCTTGCATTAGATACTCCAGCGCTGTGGGTCACATTCATCCCCGGACCGGAAAATGACAGAACGGGAAGCAATCCCCAACCCCGGTGCAGGACCGCCTGAACGGGAAGCAATCCCCAACCCCGGTGCAGGACCGCCTGAACGGGAAGCAATCCCCAACCCCGGTGCAGGACCGCCTGAACGGGAAGCAATCCCCAACCCCGGTGCAGGACCGCCTGAACGGGAAGCAATCCC